CACCTGCTACCGCCCTACACTCTATCAGTAAGGATATTTTCTTTGAACTTGGGTCTGAGATCCAAACCTATGAGGTGTCCCGGTTTTTTATGATGTCTGAAAAATTTTGATATTTCATTCACATGATAGTTTTGAAAGATGAGGTTCACTCAGAACAATCTGGCTGACCACCCTGTTAACCCTGAACATGTCACTTCTCACACTGGGGTCCCTGGACCTCTTCCTCTGTATCTGCGAATCCGTTTCAGAATCAAGAGATGAGCACGCGCAGTGGCTTACTGCCCCTCAGTGAGTTTGGGATCAGGAAGTACGTGCTCTCCACCTTCTTCCTTCCTTCCCTCCTCTCCCTTCTTTCTACATTCAACATTGTTTCACTATTCTGGGCCCTTTGAATTTTCATGTGAATTTTGGAATCAGCTTGTCAATTTCTGTAAAGTAGCCATTTGGGATTTTTGTAGGAATTGTATTGAATCCATAGGTGATTTGAGGAATATTGCCATTTTAACAAAATTAAGTCCTCTGACATTTAAACATGGGTGCCTTTCCACTTATTTAGGCTTTTAGATTCTTTCAACAATATTTTTTAATTGTCAGTGTAATGTTTATGCTTCCTCATTAATTTTATTCCTGAGTATCTTACGCTTTTTGATGATACTATGAATGGAATTGGTTTCTTAAATCTGTCTCAGATTATTCATTGCAAGCATGTAGAAATACAGTTGATTTCCACGTGGACACCCAAAACCCTTTAAGGGGTAGTTTATTGGTTCTTTTTCCTTTGTGGAAGATTTCTTAAAATTTTCTATGGACAAAGTTATGCCGTCTGCCATAAATGGTTTCGTTTTTTCCTTTCCGATCTGGATGCCTTTTATTTCATGTTCTTGACTTTTCTTCTAGTCAAAACCTCCCGGAAAATAGCAAATAGAAGCTCTAAGACTGAGAACTCTTGTCTTTTTCCTGGTCTTTGGGAGAAAACTTTCAGTCTTTCATCATTAAGTATTTTCTTAGTTTCCCTGTTGCATAATGTGCCTTTTTTCTGGTTGGGGAAATTTCCTTTTATTCTTGATTCTCTTTTTTTTTTTTTTTAAATCATGACTGAGTGCTGAATTTTGTCAACTTAATTCCTTTTTGTATCTACTGAGATCTATAAATTTTTTAGTCTTTTATTGATAATGGTATGTTATAGTAATATTTGAATGTTAAACCAACTTTGCATTCCTGGTATAAATCTCACTTTGTTATAATGTACAATCTTGTTTATATATTGATGGATTCAGTTTGCTAGTATTTTGTTGAAGATTTTTGTATATATTCATAAGATTTTGTATATATTCATATATTTTGTATATATTCATAAGATTTTGTATATATTCATAAGAGATACTGGTGTGTAGTTTTATTGTGAAATCTTTTCTTCAAGCTGGCATCAGGGCTTCAAAAACAGTGACAAGTGTTCTTTCCTAGTCCACTTTCTGGCAGAGTTTGTAAAGTGTTGGTATTAATCCTTCAAATGTTTGCTGGAATTCACCAGTGAAGCCGTCTGGACCTGCCTTTCCTTATGGATAGTTTTTTGATTACTACTCTGCTACAGGTCTCTTCAGAGTTTCCATTTCTGCTTGATTGAGCTTTGATAGTTTGGGTCTGTCTCATCTGAGCCACTAGTGTTACCATGTTACCATGAGGCAGGTCACAGGAGCTCCTTATAACACATCATATTTCTGCAAGGTCTGTAGTAATGTCTCCTCTTTCACTTCTGATTTTAGCAGTTAAGTCTCCTCACTTCTTTGGTCAGTCTGGCAAAAAGTTTGTTAGTTTTGTTGATATTTTGAAAGAACCAGCTTTGAGTTTCTTGATTTCTCTCTATTGTTTTTCTATTCTTTGTTGTACTAACTCTCACTTTAATCTTTCCTACATTTTTCTTACTTTGGGTTTAGGTGGGTGATTAGGCTACCGATTTGCAATCTTCATTCTTATTTAACAGAGATATTCATAGCTACAGTTTCCTTCTAAACACTGCTTCAGCTACATCCCCTCCACAATTTTTTTTTTTTTGCCTTCTTCACACTTTGTGCCTTCTCTCCAGTTTGTACCCCTGACCCTACTGCTCCTTTGTGATCCCTTTTGCTGCCCAGTCCTCACTAAATGTAGTCAGAGAGCTTGGGTTCCCAACCACACCAGTGCTGGGTCTTGTCTTGTCTCACTAGCGCCCCCTAGCAGCTCTGAAAAGAAGGTGCTATTATTACGTCTATCTTCCGTTGCAGGCAACTCTAGTGCAGGAAGTGTAAGTAGATAACTCACCAAGTTCTCTTACATCAGATTTGACATTTGGTCTTCTCTCTTGCTATGTGCCTTCTCCCTGGCCAATTTTACTTTTTATAGTTCTATTTCTGTGTAGATGAGACCTACGCATTCATCGCTAGACTAGACTTCTCTGCTGACCTTTCAGACTAAAGCCCAGTCACCAACAGATACTATCTCTACCTGTCTGTCCTACAAACCTGAAGCAATCACAGCTGCTTCCTCATCTTCTTCAAACCTGCCTTTCTTCTTGACTGACATGCCACCACTTACCTGCCTGCCCATCTCTGCCCAGATGGCAGCACTGGCTTAGTACCCCGGCATGAACATTGGCTCTACTCCCGCCCTTGGACATTGGCAAGAGGCAATGTCTCCTGGATAATGTGATGTTCATCACTCCGCATCTTCACCCAGCCCTTGGTGGCATCTCTCCTGAGGGTCCCACTGGGCTTTCCTCCTGCCTTGGCTTATGATTCGACCACTGTCAGATTCCTGCTTCTATGCCACCACCTTAGGGCAGCCGTGTCTGGAATCCCGGGTTGGATGAGTTGCCCTCAGACACCTCTTTTGCAGCACCACTGTGATATAATTTATTAATTATCTGTGAAGTCATCTTCTCATTTCTGCCTGCTTCACTTAATCCTAAAATCCATGGGAACAGAGCCCCTGCCTTAGGTCTGCCCTCTGCACACAGGTTTTCTGACCCCTCGCCCAGAGCCTGGTCTTTCCAGGAAGCTCAGTAGATAGTTCTCGGGCAAGTGCACAGCTGTAGCTCTGGATTCTTCCTATTTGTGTTTCATGTTGGCTTTCTCCATTTTGGTTGCCAGCGGAATAATGGAGACACCTTAGCAAGGCCAGCCGCATACTCAGCACACACAGGATGAGCGTGAGCTCAAGGCCAAGGGCTATAGAGATTTTGGAATACGGAGCTTAAGACACATTCCCTTCCAGGTGGATGCTCCCAGTCCAGACTGAGCTCAACAGCCATAGTACAAGCAAGGCTGAGTGTGGACCTGGCCTCCCAAGAACAGAGAGTGGTTTGTTCTGAGGTTTCAAGCCAGGTCCCAGAGACCACTGCATTTTCTTTTTTTAAATGTAGAACAGTGTATTATAATTCTGCACTATTAAGTTGATCACAATGATCTTGTGGGCATTTAATAGATTGTCCAAACTCCGGAGCGGGCTTTCCTTAAGCCTTTTGCTATCTTTGAACTACCTGACACCTCTCTGTGTTTTCCTGGGACATTTGATGCTTCTTCAGCCTCCTGGTTGGTGAGGGATTCCCAAGTGCTTGCAAGTACGGCTGAAGATTTCATTGAGCTGGTTTGGAGGCAAACACTGAAGCTCAGAGAAGAATTGGAAGATGGAATGCCGGCATCCTGGGCTTCGATCTGATGCCCTGTCTGCCACTGGACATAGTTACACCTATTCATTTCTATGGCTAATTACACTTAATCATTGGCCTCTGAAATTGACTTTGCTGAGCAGTCCCTTTTCTTATGGTCCATGAGTTACTGGAGATGGGAAGCGTGATCAGCAGCACCGTGGTTTCCTGGAAGAAATGGGTTCCATGCTTCACATTTCTACAGTCTTGTCCACCTGGGGGGAAAAATGGATCTTGCTTAATTCTCTATTTCTTTGTCTGTTACATGTCCTTCCTTCCCGGAGAAGAGACAGGACAAAAGATAGTTGGTCATCCATATGTGAGGACAGCACACTTCCTCTTGGGCGAGAGGCAATGTTTGTAATGAAGAAAAACCCCATTCTGCTCCATTTTAGCAACCACTTGTGGATGTTTCTTCTGTTACCTCAATAACACGTGACTCCTGGTAATTCTTAAAAAGAAAGTACTTATAATCATTTTAATTTTGATTGAAATTTGATTTGAATGAGTGGGCCCTCCAAGCATTGTAGTTACCTGTCAACGCTTGCTGCTCAGTGACCCAGTCCATACCACGGCCTTGGCAGTGACCAAGCCACTGCCTCCAGCTCCTGGTATAGGTGGCCTGGGGACCCCCCGCGGGGGGGGGGGCAGGGACACTTGGTTTGTGTGCCAGGCCCACCTGTCTCCAGCCACGTGAAGTCCGGGAAGTTACACTCCCTGATGCCTTCTGTGCTTCTAGTGTTCTCAGTGCACAATGGGGACAGTGACACCAGGGCTGTAGGTGGTGAGGATTTCATGGGTTAATATAAACATTGAATAAATATTAACAGCATTCTCTTCCCCACCCCTGTAGTTATAAAAAATCATATAGTATGACTTGAATGTACTTTGGGTGAAACAATAAGGGTCCTCTGTGGTTGTGTGTGTGTGTGTGTTGGAGGGTACTTCATGCCCATCTCCCCTTTCCCTTCCCTTGATGCCACCTCCCTTGGACTGACTCGGCACCTTCTCCCTAGACACAGGGTTGCTCAGGGTCGTGGTCTAAGAAGGAGAAACAGACTGACTCTAGTTACTACTTAATAGAGCAACGGTCGGTCCTACTGAAAATTGGAGATTGACCATAATTACTAGAATTCTAGACTTTTTAAAATGAAACTCAAATTATCTTATGTCGGGAGCATGAAAGCAAAACATATCCCTCCTGTTCTTTTTAAGCTACCAAACGAGGGTAATGTGCTCCTTCTCAAGATTTTCTTCTTTTTCTTTTCTTTTTCTTTTTTTTAAACGAATTGTCTCCCACGTCTGGTTCCTCGGCTAGGTGCTTCCTGGTGACAGTCAGAGGTCCTAAGCAACATGCCGGAACAGAGCAATGACTACCGCGTGGCCGTGTTTGGGGCCGGGGGCGTTGGCAAGAGCTCGCTGGTGCTGAGGTTCGTGAAGGGCACGTTCCGGGAGAGCTACATCCCCACGGTGGAGGACACCTACCGGCAGGTGATCAGCTGCGACAAGAGCATCTGCACGCTGCAGATCACCGACACCACAGGCAGCCACCAGTTCCCAGCCATGCAGCGGCTGTCCATCTCCAAGGGCCATGCCTTCATCCTGGTCTACTCCATCACCAGCCGGCAGTCGCTGGAGGAGCTCAAGCCCATCTATGAGCAGATCTGCGAGATCAAAGGGGACGTGGAGAGCATCCCCATCATGCTGGTGGGGAACAAGTGCGACGAGAGCCCCAGCCGCGAGGTGGAGAGCGGCGAGGCCGAGGCCCTGGCCCGGAAGTGGAAGTGCGCCTTCATGGAGACCTCAGCCAAGCTCAACCACAACGTGAAGGAGCTCTTCCAGGAGCTGCTCAACTTGGAGAAGCGTAGGACCGTGAGCCTCCAGATCGACGGGAAAAAGAGCAAGCAGCAGAAAAGGAAAGAGAAGCTCAAGGGCAAATGCGTGGTCATGTGAAGTCCTGTCCATGGGAGGAGCCACAGCGTGTCCCCCTATCCCCACTCCCATCCCCTTCCCCACCTCACATGACACCCACCATCGTCAGGGTAGCATGTCTGATGCCCACGTGTTCAACATCGCCTTTGGACCGAGCCGCACGCCCTGTCCTTCCCGAGAGGGCCCTTCATGCCACCACCGATAAGCAACCCCTCTCCAGAATCAGGGATTCTGCCCAGCCCTTTGGATGGACGCCCTGCCTTGCCCGGCCTCGTGGGGGATGGAGAGGCTCTGGCTGTCTCCAAAGGCGGCTTCACCAGGAAGGGATGGTCTGGGTTGGCAGGAGCGGGTCCCATCTGCATGCGTGCGACAGTGTGGGACCCCCAGCCACGGCTCACCCCGACCAGGCCATCCCCCGCAACTCTCTCAAAGCTGGACACCTTTGGGGCTGGGAGGGGCAGGAGGGGAGGAGCCCAGGCCAAGTTTATTCCATTTCAGGTCCTTTAGCTGAATCACAAATAACATGTCACAGTGGCCCCCAGACGGTGCTCGCTGATGGGTCCCTGACACGTGAGGTTTGCTGCTTAAGGGGGAGGCACTCCCAACACCAGACCTCATTAGGGGGTGTCCCTGTCACTTTTAGGAGGATTTATTTTACATACAGTGGTGGCATCCTGCTGGGTCAGACACCCTGCAGGGTGGGAGCGAGGGTATCTGGACCGACTAGCGCAGTGTCCTGGCACTCGGTGAGTTCCCCTCGAGGGTTTTAGAGATGTGCTTTATCTTCCCTTTGACCCAGGAGGGGTCTGCTTCTTCCAGCCCCTCAGGTTTTAAATAAAGGCGATTATTTTTAGACAGCTCTTTGCCTTCCAAGATGGTTTCCTTCTTCTCAGTAACTCCACCAAATGCCGCTGGAACAGCCAGCAAAGGCCATCCGAAGACCAGAAGCACATCTGTTTTCTAAGTCACATGGACACCTCTACGCCATCCTCTGCCCCTCAATGAAATACTTCGAATCAGAAGTCGTTCACTGTGTTCTTGATGATCCGTCTGTAACAGAAGCATATTCCCGGAAAGCGTGTACAAGGAATGGGTTATCTTGCATGCTCTGTGACACCAGTGTCTTCTCATCGCTGTTCGACGTGCTCTCCACTCCGGAAACAATGATCTTTTCCTCTTAATGACCTTGTGTGCATCCTTAATCCTCCAGACCAAATCAGGGCATCTGCTGGTTCCTGCGTGCTGGTGAGGAGATGGGATGGAGGCTGGAGGCAGGCTCAGCCCGCTCAGCTTAACTGCTCTGTCCAGTCTGGTTTGGCTTTGCTTCCGAAAGTTCCCACTGACAGAGCCCGTGAGCCCTCCTGTTTGTTCGAGTTGGCTTTGCTCACACTGGCCCCGATTCCAGAATCTTCCTTTTAGCAGGGCTTCCTGCCTGGCAGGTGGAAGAGGCTGGAGGGGGTGCTGGTCTGGGACGGGGAGCCCCCAGGTCAGATGGCCACTCCAGCCTCCACAGAGTGGTCAAGTTGGGGATGTTTGCTTTCAGCCCCTTTGGTTCTGCTCTTCTCTAGACAGCTCCGTGCACTGGGCGCACCCTCTATCAGCCCTTACTGGTTCAGCGTCCTTGCCTTTGCTGTTCTTCTGTGCTCTGCCAGCAAGTCCCCAGGTGGTATGTGTGGTGCCATGTGTGGGAGACGCCACTGAGAACCAGCCGCCCCACTATCTTCCCACATGTTGGTCTTCTAGTGGCACCCTGAGCAGGGAGGGTGTGGATGCGGCCTGCATGCCAGCGGGGTTGGGGAGCCCAGAAGGATGCCTCAGCCAGACCAGAGGTCCCAGTGGGTCCTAAGGGAGGCCCCCTCCCCATGGTGGCTGCCCCACAGCCTTCACAGCAACACCTGGCTGGTGAACTTTCTAGAACATTTATTTTTCAACCTAGTCCTACATTTTTTTTTTTTTTTTACTTGTTTCTATTCTTTGAGAGATGTGATCAGTTTGTCATTCGGATGTGAGTTAAGTGGAAGAAGAAACAGGACATCACAGCCACCATCGGAGGCTGGGGTCTAGCAGGGGCTGTGCGCGCGTCCCCGAGGCTCCTGGCGTGAGGCCTCCCTGCCAGGTGCCCTGTCCTCACTGGTAGAAGTCACAGTTCCCGTTCTGCCTCTCACGTCCCAGTCTGCCACTGAAGCATTTAGAGCTTCATCAATAGAGTTTTGGTTTTTTTAAATTAACATACAATGAATTATTTGTTTGGGGGTACAGGTCTGTGAATCATCAGTCTTACACAATTCACAGTGGTCACCATAGCACATACCCTTCCCAGTGTCCATCCCCCAGCCACCCCAGCCCTCCCACCCCCCTCCAGCAACCCTCGCTTCCTGAGGTTAAGAGTCTCTTATGGTCTGTCTCTCTCTCTGGTTTCAAGGCAGAGGGTCATGAGGGAAAAGAGGAAAAAATAGGAGGAGCTTTTAATGGTTGAAAACTGGACCCATTTTGCTCCTTTGTACTTTGCCCATGACTTTCTGGGAAGGCTACTGGTGCCTCTGTCACAGGTCTTTGTTGAGCCATCATTTTCCATGAACCACACTGAGGGTTTGATGATGATCTCAGCACAGTCTTGGAGGAGATCCCCAGTTGTCTTAGGGCTCAAGGAGTTGGTTCCCCGAATTGGATGTGCTTAGTATTTAGGTGGCCCTGTCCTGAGTATGTCCCTGCTGTTCTGAAGGACCCTTCCAAACATTGCACATGGGCACAGAAGTGGTTGACCTGGCCACAAGATGTCACGAAACTCAAAATATTGCTTTGAAGATGGCATTCTGGGGATAAGCCTGGGGCTCTATGAGTCCCCTTGTGTCCCTTCCGGTCCCTCCTCCATCTGGTGACAAGCCATGGGCGTGTCCCGGGCATGCATGCAATACAAAGACCAACAGGAGCAATATTGAATTGTTCCCTGGATCTAACACTATATATACATCTTATGTATATATATAATTTACCTTCCTGCACTTTTGAGGTATAAAGCCGTACACTGTACATATCTATAAGCTAACGTACTTGTTTCACCATTTCTAATATCGAAGAAATGCTCATTCTTTGTAGAACAAACAACTGTTAAAGATTTTAAAAACTGCTCTGTGATTAGTTTCCTTTTCAAGATTTGTAACGTGTCGCTTGTACATAAGCTCTCTGAAAGCGTCCGTCGCTAACGGGACCCACGTAAGCCCTCCAAGCCCCATCCCAGAACTCGGACCTCCACAGGGACAGTACGTGGACAGGAGTATTTACAGAGCATGACTTTTCTACGTGTGGGAGACCAACGTGTGTATTTATATTCACGGTGTCTATTGTTACATTTCCATGATCGATTCTGTTTTATTTACTCTTCAGTTACAGAAACCACCCTTGCATACCAGTTTCTAGTTGCCAGTGATGTTCTGAAAATAATGAAACCTATTGAAATAAAGCTTCCATTCTGACCCTCTGGAGGTGGTGGCTCTGATTCTTTGTGGTGCGTCCTGTCAGGGAGGGAGGGTCTTAAGCTAGTTCTCCTGGACCTACTCCGTGGGCTCACCGCCGGACGGGAGGCCATCAGGCTCTGCGTGGGGCTGGGATGGGAACAACGTTTCCAAAGGTTTCCTTTCTTCCTTGCTTCCTCCCTCCCTCTCTTCCTTTCTTCCTCCTTTCCAAGATTTTATTTATTTGTTAGAGAGAGAGAGAGAGCAGGAGCAGGAGTGGAGCAGCAGAGGGAGAGGGAGAAACAGGTTCCCCGCTGAGCAGAGAGCCCGATGCGGTACTCGATCCCAGGACCCTGAGACCGTGACCTGAGCCGAAGGCAGAGGCTTCACCGACCGAGCACCAGGCGCCCCTCCAGAAGGTTTTCCCAGGTGTTCCCTGGTGTGGGACATGAAGGCCAAGGAAGAACCGAGTCTCCTTGCTACGTGCAGGTCACTGGCAGGTGGGGGACACGGGTGGCCTGGCATCCCTCTGGGAGCTCGGCTGCCTGGGTGTTGGTACTTTGCTGGGGCGGGGAGCCCTGGGGCCCTGTGCATTGGCTTTGGCACGTAGAAGTTCCTCTGGAGACTTCCTTTGTCCCTAACCCGCTGCGAGACCCGTGTTGTTGATCATCCCCCAAGCATATGACCCTCTGATGTACCCCCGGGGGCCTCACGGCTGGGCTTTTGTTAGGCGGTAATGAATGGCCTTTTCCCCACAATGCCTGGTCCGGTCAAGGTCCTGCCTTCCAAAATTCCTAGAGACTTACACTGCCCCTGACCCCCTGCCCACTTGAAAGTGAATGGTCGGCCACCCCTCTCTTCTGGCGTCCTGTCCCCGCGCTTTAATAAAAGCACCTTCTTGCATCAAAGACATCTCAAGGATTTTTTCTTGGCTGTTAGCTTCAAACCCTAGCATCTTCGGTATATCGGTCCCTACCAGCCCCTGTCCTGGGCTGCCCCACTCAGGCTTCAGGAGCTGAGCTGGGAGGGACAGAGTAGAGGCAGGGCGCTCCTTGGCTCCGAGCAGGAATCAAGAGAATCTCCTTTTTAACCCTGCGTCTCCGGCTCCAACCCCCTCTCAAGGGCAGGCTGTTAAGTGGGTTTGCTATTGAGAACCCCAGAGCTGTTTCTGGGCTCAGTTCCTGCTGGGCACCCTCGGTCCTCACTCCTCCTTCTCACTGCTGATTATAATACAAACTCGACTTCTGGGGACACGGGAAACAAACCAACAACTCTAAACCAGGAAAAACCCTACGTCTGCTGTAAAAGCCAGGTGACCCGGGCAGGGCTGGATTTTAATGGATTTTAACCTCTGATCTCCTGTAAAAGGGGAATTAGCGTTCGCAGCAGGGGCGGCCTTTAGGATTCAATTAGTAAGTGCAAAGCAGGGAGCGCTGTCTTGTCACATGCTGAGCCCTCCGGAGACACCGGCGACCCTGTAGGACTCGGCCTGGAAGGGCTGTGACCGTGGGAAGGTGAATCTTACCCGGCACAGCCAGCAGCCAGCAGCCAGCGCCTCCCTTTCCTGAAGCCTCTTTGATGGCTTCCCTGGCTCTCCGCCCCTCATTATTGCTGCATCATTCGGGGCTTTCTCCAACTTAACAGATAATTGCAATCAGCAGGCCCCATTCGGCCCCATTAAAGGGCATCCCATCTGGTGCTTATCAGGCTTCAATGTGCAAATAAAGCTCTTGGATGGCCTGGTGACTCCCCGGAGCTGGAGCCTGCAGGGGTCCCCCGGGCCTGGACATCTGCATTCCTAGGAGGCTCCCGGCTACCACGCTCTGCTCCTGGTCACCCACCGCACCTGGAGTGGCGATGTGGTCTTCACTTTGCACTCCGAAGCCCGCTGCAGGCTGGAGTCACCTGGAGGGGTTCTGAAGCCTCCTGATCCCCGAGCCCTGACGCAGAAATCACTA